CTATTCCTGACCCCACGGTCACATTTTATCATTAACAACTTCCCCCTATTCGAGGATATATAAATCAGTACTGTTTGGAAAGTGTCGTTAAATAAGCGAACGAAGAAAGGTCATCCGAGAAAGTACCTCTAGAGACAATTTCCTTGGCTTTCTTGTTAGTTTAATATACCTAGGATGGCGTACATTTTTGAAACACTCAATCACTCAGATACCGAGTTCCAGTCTATTTGAGTTACGGATTTTTGTCGATTTTCATTTGTTTACCCTGGGACAGTAAAGACCCTTGGATGCTGTAATGCTCCATCCAAGGAGACGAACTATTTGTGTTAACATTTTACAACCCAGAAATTAGTATATGTAGGCTACCACCTGCTTTAACAGCCAGTAACTCTACATCTTTCCCAAAACGCGTATTTATGGGGTTCGTATGATTATCAGGATAACAGCTATTATTTCCCTAACAACCTCCTGCCATTTTTCCTTCAGGAAAACTACAATAAACATGGGAGGATATCAGGCCACCGGCCGAGATTCGAATCCAGGGTCTCCCGCATAAGAAACAAAATGACGGTTCAGATTTCCAGGTTCGCCAATAAAGCATGAAACTCATTTAGGACGTACAGACAGGCATCTGAATGCCCCGTAAGTCGCTATTCAGCTCAGGTCCCGAGTGAATACGAGCATACTATACCCGGAACTACATAAATGCAATATTGAATTCTTAGATACCACCAAATCCCCTTTCATGAAAGGAACTGTGCAGATTCAAAGTTGGCAATATTGAAACTCTGTGCCCAGACAGGAGCAAATGGGAGAGGTTACTTCAGCGTCGCGTCACGTGTGTTCTGTACGTGTCCTGACGGAACCTTGCAATTAAGGATATAAGATTCTCACAACAGCGAATACGAAGATGGCTGTCTTATAGGGTTGCGTAGTCTGATACAAATTTACGGACGTTTCACTATTACTTTCCGCCTTCCCTGTGTCAATCGTATTCAGAGGGCGAGATACGCGATTGATTTTATGTACCGTGAACTCTGCTTCGGACGCGTTGCGAGAGAGTCATCTGTTGCATTTTGTGACTTTTTCGCCTTTATGGGAAATGGTCCGGGGTCTGTGTCCGGCTGTTAATGCACGTAACTTCCGGACGATCACTGATCGAACGCCCCATCTCGAATCCTACGTCACAGCAACACAGCGGGAATTTGGTTGAGCGTGAATAGCCCGTGTTATCTGACGATGCTCTGCCAACTTCCGAAGTTAATTCCCGACAACTGAGTCGAGAGGACCATGATGCCTTGCAGAAGGAAGCGGTTCATGCTTATCTGAAGACACCATAGCTGAATCAGCTTGTAGGAATTTACGAAAATAATAAGCGACCAGGGTTGGAAATTGACCGCTTCGCAACTCTTATTTCTTCATCTCGTCACGAAATCATATATGGGGCGTGCAGATACATTTTCACGCATTAGGTGGAAGTAGGCAGCATCGCGCCCCAGCCGTCTTAACCCAATAAAGTAGCTCATGTTCACACTTGATAGCGAGCAGGGGTGAAGGGTGGGGGATGGCTCAGACAGTCTGACATGCCCCTAACAGGATCTGAACCCCAGTCATCCACTTCGCATTCAATCAGTTGAGCATTATAAGCCCGTAGCTTGTGGTATGTCCTTAATTTAAACAGATTCTGTTTGAAGCACGTTTTGATGTCGAGAAAGACTGGACTGAGATTTTCTTCCGGCAGTCTTCTTGCTTCTTGAGAGTTTCCCCATTTCCCTTACTTCCCCCCCACCCCCGCCCCCTTGCAGCCACTATGTTTTTAGTCTCCCCTTTTCCACTTTCATGTCTTCCACTTGGAACCAACTAGTCTAGCTGCTTTGCTCGTCTGTGTTCTCCCGTTTGCTTTACTGACCACCCCACCGTGAAATCCCCTAGTTACGTAATTTTCTCCTTTTCAATGTAACATCTTCTCTCTGAGATACAACAGCTCTCATCAGAACTCTATTCTCATACAGCTCAGCCTATATTATCATTAATATCATCATCATTATTTATCCCTCATCTTTTGCCTCTGTGCCTCAAACCTGGACCAGAAATGGTACGTTTCTCAGAGGTTAAGATAATAAATTTCACTAAAATGTGTGTTGTCTTCTCTGACTGGGCTGATGGTTGCCTAATCTTAATGTCTTTAGTGTATTTATCGATTTGATTAACAGCGCTTTCAGACTTGCGTAATTTACACAGAACAAACAGCAGAATATTAATACCGAATATTGAATCGGCGTGGAACGAAGCCGACTTATCCACTTTCAAGGACGGTCTATTAGGATACACTCGCCTTCTCTAACAGAGGGGGAAAAGAAACTGGTATCCAAACCAAATGTCGAAACCGGGACCCACAAAGCATCAACGAGAGTGTTCGGTGAATATTCTTCCCTCGAAGTGATTTATACGGCCAAAAAACGCGGATTATGGACACAGAATCAACTGACACGCAGTCGATATCAGGTTGCAACGGGAATGCTTGAGAGGTCTTCATCACCTTGCGCTACGAACTTCCCCGGTCTTGTCTCCCCCATCCTCTCTCTCTCTCTCTCACGCTCAACTATCGCCCCACCGGGTTCTTTGCCGTCAGCAGCCGAGGGTCTGCAAGAACAGCGAGCGACATGGCGGAGCCGCGGTCTTCAGAGCACGTGCCACGCGACAAGAGAACCTCTCACCCGCCCCACCAGAAGACACGGAAAGTACTTCTGACCACACGACAAATCAAAAAGCCTAAATGCCTAAAGAGTGGTCTTAATATGGAATTAACTGAGAACTAACTCACTGATTTATTACCACAGACTAGTTAATAAGTACCTGATCCAATGACCCAGAGCCCGAAGGTTCGACGTTACCAATACGAAGTTAATAAAACACAGATATTATCTTCTTTGTAAAATCGTTAGAACTTTGCTGCTAGGCATTAATGAACCGAAACGATTATGGACGATGACTGAAAAAGGGTGAGACAGAACTCAGATATTTAAGTAACCAACTTCTGCCCCCGTCGCTCGTCAAACATATGATGTAAAGTTCAGTAAACTAAAAGATGTGTCATTACAGCATAAAAAATTTAATTATAATTAAATATCTAAATAATAATAAAAAATACTTAGAAATATCACATACAGAATTCTTACAGAAGCTGGGTTTAACGCGCGATCAGTTAATTGTCAAATGACCATACGAACAAAATTTTCTCCTGAAGACATTACTTTGATTCCAGTATCTGTCATCCGGCTCGTTTATCCGACCTAGCCATTAAAATCCAAACTTAACCCTCGTGGTGTTTTACAACGCAACACGAAAGCCAATGTCTACTTCCTAAGACCTTCTATATAATGTATTACCACAGCCTCTGCTTAAATGTATCAGTCACTTTTGTATCCACAGTGTTAGTACCATCAACACTCACTGTATTACAGCCAGTTTACGTATCAACACACTTAATTTTTATTAAGTCTGAAGGTTTCTGACGATTTTGCGTGCGTTATAATCTGTAAACTTTTCTTTTACTTTATCCAACGTCTAAATTATAAATATAAATAAAAAAGTACAACGTTTCGGAAGCTATATATTCTTCCTTCTTCAGGTAAAAATAAAAGTGTAGAAACCCTGCCTGTAGGCTTCATGTGAGGTCAATCAGGGGGCCCAAAAACTGGAATTCGTGTCCTTTCCCTCTCATCTGAAGATGGAGGAAGATTCATCTTAAGAAACATTATATTTGTATTTATATTTGTAATTTAGACGATGGACAGGGTAAGAACAATTTACACGTTACAGCACTTGGTTTAATTCAGAATTTTAATAAACTTGTAAATTTTACGCCTAGACTAGTGATCCTGAACCACATTAATTTATAAACTGGACTGTCCGGTCTTCAAGGCCCTGACAGGCACATTCTCACTTTTCCCTGTGTGTCTCCCTATACGTAACAGATAATCTTACCGTTGCCTCCCGTCTCCGCGCGTTGAAGCAGCCATCTTGACGTCACCAGGTATCTCCATTCGCATCACGACGAAGAGCAGACTGCGAATTAAAACAAAAAGGCCGCGTTAAAACTCGCAGAAATTCGTCCCGGACCGGAAAGGGGCCGAAACGGTGTCGTGGTCCATTTATGACGAAAGTGATTCGTACATCAGGACAAAGCTACAACACGTGACGGCTAGAAGGAATTTAAAGCGACAGAAAGAAATGTCTTGGGAGACGCTAAGTGCGAGATCGGGGAATCTCCACAATGATATTGCCATCAATGCAGAAATAAATTTCCCTTCTTAAAAAATGCTGTTGTTGCTGTTGCTGACAGATCGTGTCTCGGCTCCACCCACACACCTGAAACTTTGCTCACCTTGTCAAATGCTCAGGTTGAAGCAAGTATCAGGCGATGAGGAGAACTCCCTTAAAGTGATGGCAGCTCTTCAAGCCCTGTCTTCGTATCGATGGTTATTCCATTTCAAACTAACAAAAATTAAAACCTGAAACAAAGTTTATCTCGAAATAACGTAAAATTTGACGATGCAGACGGCTAGCTACATAGCTGACAGACTGACTGGTGACCAGCTGTCTCCAACTAATTCTGGCAGCAGAATCCGAAGTCTCAGCATCGTTATTACCAAGGCTCACAATTGGTTCCGAAAATAAATCAGCTCACTCTATCAGCCATCCTCAAAATCTGTTGCAGTAACACTCATTTTAATATTTTTCTCATAATCTTCACAGAACATCCCAGTCGTCAATTTTAGAAGTATCCCTACCGAAATTTTGTACATATTTATAATTTCTCCGTTTAAGCTACGCATTACTTTGTTTTACAATCTACAAAGAAACAACAAACTTTACATGTCTTCAGAAGCTCTGTTAACGAACTTCATTTCAGGGCCCTAAATTACGTAGCGATATTATCGCTTCCATCACACAAGTTCGCGCGTTTGTTATGCTTTGTTACCTACTGTGGGAAATTTAAAATTACGAGTTTTATATGGCCTTCAATGGCGTAACGTTCGTAACAAATTTAATCAAAATCTGTCCAGCGGTTCTCAATTTGAAACACGCGGATATAAGGAAGTACAGACACGATAAGCCTTATCAGGAGTTCATTTTATGTGCATCGTGCACACCACAAAATATGCACCCGGTGGATAAAGTGCAAATCATTCTCTCTGTTGTATATTTCTGGTCGCTTAGCAACCTTTAGACTGCCTATTGATCGTTACCAACTAAAGACAGTCCTTCGCAATCATGGCTACCTGAATGGACAGAGATATAGAACAAAACATAGTTCACCATGACACATCCATTAAAAAATTTAAATACGTAAAAATTCAAAATTGTAACAATATGTGGTATAGAAACTGTATGCTACATAATGTGTCACTGTACCCAAAGGACTATATCGTCAAATCAGAACGGCTGCAGTTGATTGTACCAGGACACTGTGAGTTTAATACGGAGGACGCAGCATCCCTCAGGACTCAACTAACATTTATTACTTGCGTTCTGAATTATTAACGATACTTCACATCAGTTCTCGTGCTGAAGTGAACAGCGTTTTATATAAGGAAGATATGACATACGATTTGAGACTTTCGCGGCGAGTACAATCAATAAAATCCTCTCGGGCAATCAGCCGCGTCAACTGTTACCGTAGTAAACAGACGTTTCGGGAACCAACCCTGTCCCCAACATCAGGGTTCTGATGTGACTGATTCCCGAAACGTCGGTTTACTACGGTAACAGTTGACGCGGCTGATTGTCCGAGAGGATTTTATTGAAGATATGAGAAGTTAATGAACATCAAGGGTCGATTGGGCGGAGACCGTTACTTAGCAGCCAGCGGCCACATTTCCAATATCCACATTTTGGTTCATCAGGGAACAATCGTTTTGGGAATAAGAAAGATGGAACCGCGGCTGGATTCGAACCCATATCCATTTTGTAACCATTAATATGTAACTTATAGCAGTAACTTTTCGGGTCCCTTTTAAATCCTTCACAAACTATTTACAATATGAGGTTTTGTAGGCGGTGAATACGAATCGATCGTCAGGGGGATGACATAGCCCTGATGATGGAGGCAGCAAGGACCTCTGAAACGCTGGTAAACTTTTACCAGACTACATGACGCTAGAACCCAGAAGACGAGACAGAATACAGAATTTTACGAAACAAATTTGTTTCATTTGCAAACAGTCAATGACAGCATGTTAATTTTCGTTTTATCTAAGTATGAAATGGCGGAGGTGTAACTAGTAATTAGAATAATAAAAATATTACCTAACGCTCATTCGACCTGTAAGGCCAAATTGGAGCAATAATACAAAACCCTGACATAAGTTACGTTCAAAGGGAATGGAATAAAGTACAAGGTGCGATCGGAAAGTTTCAAGACTGCGCGTATAAAAACCCGTACACTTATCTCAGGTATTAAATTCATCCATCACCCTCGAAGTAGTTCCCCTGGGAGTGAACACAACGATCCCA